TAATAAGATTTATTAGTTATTATAAAAGCTTATAAATAAAAGCTTATATTAAGGAAAAAAATATTATGTTATTATTTATTATCTGTATTTGCAGCCTAAAGCTTAACCTTATAGGCCGCAGTCATCCCATAGTTTAGCTGCCATAGCCATCCGCAGAGCTGTCAGGCACGGAGAGGGCTGCGACATACAGACAATTCAGTGCAACAGCATTCTAAAATTAGATTCTATATCTAGCTCCTAAATGTCATATACCTCACTCAAGCGTCTTTACTCAAGGCACCTATCCTTTTCTTTTACCTTAACGTCTTTCCCATGATCACGCCTAGCCTTATAAGGGGACAGCTTTGGATATGTTATTACCACGCTTCTTTGTGTATTTGGGAAGCTCTTTGGTGGTTGTAAGCCCAACTTCACGATCGAACAAGCTATTTACCGAAAAGTATGGCGATTTGATTCGCTGCTCCTGATTAATCAGCGCTCTGTGCTGACTTTGAACAGAGCCTGAGACTTCATTGCCACTCTTTACACAGCTCCTTTCAGTGAATGGTCTTCCATCGACATAAGGACCTCCTGGGCTACTGTTTCATATGATTTCTTGAGTCTGGGAGTTTTCAGCGACGTCACTACGGCTGGAGAAAATGGTTCATTGACGCTAATGCTGAGGGAAGCGGTCATTGTCTTGTATTTGATTTTAAGGTCGGGAAGACTGCTGGAGCTAAATAAGTCTTTGCATCCTTTTCCGAAGCATTAACTTATGTTATCTACTTGCGAGTCTTTCGCGGGCTCATATGCTTTAGATTACATGAGGCAAGACTAACGGGGGGTAGGACATCAGATGTGCGGGTGCTTCGTGCAAGCAATGCTGCTGTCATTGAGTTCCAAAGGTCAGGAGCACAAGAGACTATTCCACGGTCAGACAAAATCGATAATTTTGATTCCCAGGTCAAGAGATTTAATATTTCCACTATTCAAATCGCCTGGTGGTCTCGGTAGTGACGCATGAATCATCGACACGATTATGTCGGCCGAGAAGTTAATGCTATAGAGGGATGACTTCAAGTATCAGTTCAGAATGGAGGACGATGTTGTTCACATGTAAAATAGACAATATTTCTTGAGCGTCAACGATTTTACTAATAGTGCATCCGAACATACCCTGTCTCAAACCATGTTTCGAAGTCCTCTCTCGAGAACGACTCCAGCGATACCAACACCCAACACTCCAAGCGTCCAGCTGTTTCTCAGCTCCTCCGACTTGGGCCAAAAGCTGTTCTTCTGCTGACGGTATTCCTTAAACTCCTGTGCCTTTACAGCGTCGTGCTTGGAGTATCGCTCAGCTTGACTCTCTTCGTTCTCCCTATCACCACCGATGTAACGCAGGAAGACGTAGTTTGCGATTGGGCCGAGAGCAGTAATGGGATGGAGGATGCCGGCGCCGAGGAGCAGAATGGGGAACGATGCGTGGATTAGAACGTCGCCAAGATAGCTTGGTTCGTTAGCTTTGGTCTATTCGTTCGTCGATACAAGAACTTACTTAGGGTGTCGAACAATGCTCCAGACGCCTTCACGGTTGATGCCTTGAGTAGTCTCGTCCTTCTTGAACGACTCAAGCTGGGCATCGGCCAGGGTCTCAAGAGCGAAGCCGGTGCTGAACAGAAAGATGGCTAACGAGTGGAAGACGAATCCGTTGGAAGTAAAAGGTGAAGCGACGGCGCTCTCGGCCACAGCGCGGAAGGGAATTGTGAATGGAAGTGAGATGATGGTCTGCGCGACAGCCTCGGGCAAGAAAGTTGTAAAGAGCGCCTTGTTCCAGAACCCGGGATCCTTTCTCTTAACGTCATAGCGAGGATCATCCCTTCCACGCTTCAAGCTTCGCGACACAACACGGGAAGTAAGTCTCACTCCCCAAGCCGTAACACCAGCAAGAAGAAGCTTCTGCGAGTATCCAAGACCATTCCATGCGTCAAGAGGCGCAACATTGTCGTAAACATACTTAGCGCCAATAGCACTCCACCAAGCATTCACCGTCATCCCAGAAGCCCAAAGAACGTCCTTCCCCTCAACCCTATCAGCATACCGCGAAACCCCATACGCGACTGCCGACAACCCAGCATGCAGACTAAAAGACGGCAAGACTGCGGAGTGCAGCAGCCCCAGCACGCTAGTGCCGAGACCCTGATACGCGGTGCGGTTGAAATGCGAGCCGTAGACATCTTGTTCGGCGCCAGATGGCCCGAAACTAGCCCGAGGCAGGGACGGAGAGTGTCCGGCAAACTTGCTGCCGTAGACGTCTTGTTCGGCTCCAGATCCGGCGAATACCCCATGGGGAACAGACGGCATGTGACCGGCTAGTTTACTGGCGTAAATGTCTTGCTCGGCGCCGGAGCCGGCGAATGTGCCTTTTGGGAGGGAGGGAGAATGATTGGCGAGTTTACCGCCGTAGATATCTTGTTCTGCCATGATGAAAAATGTGTGAAGGTGGATGAAAACGAGTGAGGGCAGAATGGTTGGAGATCATGATATACTGTTCAAGGTGGAGATGAGAGCGTCGTAAATGTTGCGTCATGGGTTATATCATCATTGCATCGTCAACACGTTCTGTGAAATGATGACTAAGGTGATTTCCGATGTTTCACTTTATTACAGGAACCAATATGTTTTTACTCCTTCTTCAATGCTTGGTATTGCCTGTGAGTACAGCTACAGGTAAACAAATATCGGGTCCACTGGCTTGGGACTCGTTTGTCGGTGGTACATAGTCCGACAATGAGAAATGGAGTCTGAAACCAAATACGATCGAGGTGTCACTAGTTCAACGGGCCATCTTACGCCGCAAAAGCCTCGGCAGGGCCGTTAGTAAATACGACCGCGTCAAGACAAACACGCAGTGAGACGCGACATGCAGGTCACGTGTCATACAGCATGGTTTGCTCAATATTTACAATGCAACAATCACAGAGGGCCGGAGGATATTATGATAATCATGATTAAATATCCCTAGAAAGTTTGTAGGCAACTAGATAACTCAAATTGTCTTGCCACCGTTTGACTACATAGGTTGACTTGTGATTTACGAAACCACGATAGATAATCCAGCCGCTTAAATAAACAGAGCAACACGAGGTATCCAGCTTGATCTTCCCCAGGAGAATCCATGCTGCTTCCCCCTTGAGAATTCCGACATCTACTCGTCGTCGTGAACATCGATGACGGTCTTCTTCCACTTGCGGGCGGGGACCTTGCGCTTGAAGAGAATGTCGATCTCTCGGTAAGATCGGTTCTTCATCTCAGGAAGCCAGATGTATGCCATGACCAAGCAGACGAAACCGGTACCGGCCCAGACATAACCGCACTTGCCACCGAGGTTGGCGCCCTGTACACTGTTAGTAGCTGGTCTGAAATATCTAGATATAGCGAACTTACAGTAGGGTTAAGCATCCAAGAGGAGAGGAAGATACAGGGGATGTTGACGAGGTAGTAGCAGCCACGGCCGACACCAGTGGTGAGAGGTCGAAGACGAATGGCAGAGGTTTCTCCGATGATGACCCAAGAGGCAGGGGCAGGTCCGAGGGTGAAGAGGACGGAGACAATGAGACCGAGGGCAGCCTGGGTGTTGGAGTTGATGGTGGACTTGACATCGCCGACAGAGGCGGCGATACCGAGAGCGACCAGAAGGACAGTGTTTCCGAGAGAGCCCCAGAGGTAGATGGATCGTCGACCGAAGTAACTGGTGAGAATCCAAGAGAGCATGACGAAGACGGTCTGGAGGGCGGAGGTGATGAGACCCATGGCGAAAGCAGTCTTGTTAGGCATACCGGCCTCTGTAAACAAGTCAGCGCAGCTCATAAAACCTCACATGGGGGTTCACTTACGCTCAAAGAAGTAGACAGCCTGGTTAGCGATCAGGTTACCAGTAAGGTTCTGAGCGGCGTAAACGCAGCAAACAATGGCAGTACGGTAAGCATCAGTGCCCTTGAACAGCTCAAGGAAACTAGGCTCCTTGATGGTCTTCTCGAGATCAATGGTACGTCTCATCATGGCAATAGCCTCCTGAGCGTTGTCGACGTGGGTAGAACGTCCGAGACGTCGAACGGCCTTGGCAGCCTCTTCGAGACGACCCTTTCGGACGAGCCACCAGGGAGACTCGGGGGAGAGGAAGATGAGAATGGCGAGGGGGGTGGGGAACATCCACTGAAGAGCGATAGGCACACTGAGATTCGATTAGCGAACTGAGACATTGGTGACGGGAATTACGGGAACATACCGGAAAGCAGCCTGCTCATGGAGATCATTGTAGCGATAAGCAACAGCACCGACGATAATCGCACCAATGGCCCAGAACATCTGAAGCATCTGCGTAGCAGGCGCACGAAGCTGGAGCGGCACGATCTCGGAACAGTAAGCTGGAGAGTTGGCGATGAAAATACCCCAGGGGATACCCTCGAGCAGCTGAGCGACGAGCATGACGGGTAGAGAGTCGGCAAAGTAGAAGATGAAGATAAAGGCGTTGAGGAGCATGAGACCGCTGATAGTAGCCCATCGGTATCCGATACGGCTAGTGATGGGACCGGCGATGGTGACACCGATGATGGCGCCAATGGGACCACCGACCTGGAGAGCAGATTGCCACTTTGTCTCAATGACATATTTGCCCTTGGTGTCACTCCAGATACCGTATCTGTCGGCGAAAGCGGGGAGGGCGATGAAGTTACCGATGAGGAAAACACAGTAAGCCTCCATGATCTACAGCCAGTCAAATTAGCCACAATTCACCAGCCAGTGAGGGGTAACACAGAAACAGAAACAGGGGCGGCGTACAATTGTGCAAGACATGTTGAAGGCCCAGAGAGAAGCGGCGGGATAGGCTCTAACGGCCTCGAGAACGGTCATGTTATGCTCCGCGTTCTCAGCGTCGATGGCGCCCTGCATGTCAGCGGCCATCTCCTTCTTTGCCTCGACATCGTAGGCATGGTCGATGTGGGCGCCGTCGCCCTTGACCTCTGAGATGCCCTTGTTATCGTCGTTGGTGCTCATGTTGACGTGTTGCTAACTCCAGATCAACAATGATTGAGGATGAGGAGGAGAAATGCAACGGTGCTGCCGAGCGATGACACTTTATAAGGAAAAAATTGAAACGTCGCGTTGGGAACATGCCGATCGTATGGATCCTTGTCCTTAACCTGGTATGGTAAGGATGGAGTCGTAGCCATGAAAAAGTACCTTTGAGCTAACAGGCAAAAAAGAGGGCTTTGGGCGATGATACGTAGCGTGCATTTGTGCTGGGGTATGGGGGGATTGGATTTAGGCATCTGGGGTTAGACGCACGAATGGTGAGGCCTGTGAGCGAGGGGGTTCCCCGCAGCTACCCCGGATCAAGACACCACTACGGCGCGACTCCGGCGGGAGGTGAAGCCTTTCGGGGTTCATTTGCCAGGATTGGGACAAGGTTGCATGCATCGGTCTTAATTTCCCCGTTTTACTCCAACATCTCCACGCTTTGTCTCACGAGCCTCGTGGTATTTACTGCCGAGCCGAGGGTAAGCTTGAAATGAGAACATACCGAACCGGGAGTCTATGTACCGAAATACCCCAGACTAACCATGAAGAACGAAAAAGGAAGAAAAGGGAGAAGGAAAAGAAACGTGGCTTTGTCTGGGGAAAGGCGGGTCGTGATTCTCCAGTGTATACGGTTATTCCTCAAGACCACTAGAGAAAAGCTGGGGAACATCAACATGCGAGCGAATCATTCAAGACCCGGTTAAAAAAGAAGCAACCAAATCAAAATTGGAGGGCTGCGAAGGTCAATCCCTGCTCCTGGCTTCCATGCTACCCCATCTTCCCATCTCCGTCCCCTGTGAATCTCACGTGGGCCATACGAAAAGTCGAGAACCAGAACCTGTAACAGTCGCACTGGCTTCTGCTTCACAGGCGCGCCAATTGACGCTTGACGCGCCGTTGCTAGCGTGGAATTAATGCACCTATCGGGTTGTGATCCACGGTGGAGGCCAAGAGCGGCATTCCTTGCCGTTGATCCTTCGAGAAGCAATTGAGGGATGGAATAAAAACTTGGTGATTTATGATGAGCGACAAAAAGGCTCAGGGAAACTTAGGCATAATTTAGTCCATTTTGGACTGGGTATTTTTGGTTTGTTGACTGAGTGCTTGAGGTTTTCTACCGCCGGGGGCTAATCAGGCAAATGCAGGGCGCCTTTATTCCCAGACGACACTTCCTGATTTGCGCGTGTAGACTATCTTTTTAAAGTGGTAATTTAGAGTTAATTATATGGTTCAATTCTTATAGGAGCGTTAACTTAGAGTCCCAACGGTCCGGGTAAAGTATCCTGGCGTATGTGACTAGCTGAGATGCAGAATAAAGGCTGAAACCCAGCTGTTGATGGTTGCTTGGGAATTTTGGATGGATTGCCCCAGAACTTGCATCCGTCAAATCCGGATTCCACGTGGTTTGTGTTGCATTGGTTGAGGTCTGTCATCTGGAGCCGTATCTGGGGTCTAGGTTAGGTTGCGTTCGGAATGGACTGGTGCTGTAATGACGTGGCGGGAATGTTGCCGATTGACGCGAGACGATTTATATGGCAGTGAAGTTAGACTTAGAATCCCGACGGATATATTTAGGACATATTCTCGGATTGTGATTTAACATTTAAGGGACCAAATTATATTTCGCTCTTGCAGGTTTTAACTAAGTTCTATCTGCTAATTTAAGCTCTTAGCCACAAGCCTTAACTATAAATAATATATCTAGCTAATAACTTAGGTATTATATTATAATAACTAACTAATTATTATAGCTAAACGCTAATATTATAAAAACCTAAAAAATAACTTATTTATATATTACCCTAGTTTAAACTACTGCTTCTTTACTAATATTACTTTATCTGTTCTTAGATATAAAGTCAGTTAGTTACGTGCTTTAGTACATATATTCAATTAATAGAGCTAGTTATTATTAACTTTAAGTTAATTTAACTTTTACTAACTAACTTATATAAAAGTTAACCTAATTCCTTTAAACCCTGTCATTACCCCGTGTGACGGTTGGGGTTTTAAACAGGGAAACTAGTCTATACTAGGTTTATATTTACAGATTGCATAGGGCGTTATACTAAGTACATTATTTTAAAGTTATATCTCTTAATAGTTAATAGTAAAGGTAAGGCTTATTAAGGTAAAGAAGTATTATTAATAGCTAGTAAGCTAAGTTCTATCTAGTACTAAATAAATATATATATATACTTAAGTAGCTTACAGTATTATAAGTTAGGCTTATAGTAAGTTATAAGTTTATATTATAAGTTATATCTAAGGCTTATAATATATATAAGGTTAAAGCATAAGCTAGTTAATAATTAGTAAAATAAGGTAAGGGAAAGTATATAATATAAGCGCTTCTCCTATTAGGTTATAATATAATCTCCCTCCCTTTATTAGTCTTGCCC